TTCAGCATTGATCTTGAAATTTTCTTGGAAAAAATTTTACCTACCTACCGACCCAATTTTTTTTCATCCTGAGTCGGGAAAGGGCAAAAAAAAAACCATTATTTTAAAGTTGGTCTAGTCTGTGATGATATATAGAAGATATTCAGTGTTTCGTAGTTGGATATGGAATTTATTTCATGAGTGGGACAGGATTTCTTGATATTTTTACGAGTGCAAAGCACAAGTGAAAATATCACGAGTGGTTGAGAAGTCATAGCTAAGCGATTGTGAGATTAAAGCCATTGTAAACATGGATTTCAACAACAGATTTGGAGAAACTTTGGCAGTTTTAGTCTCTGTACTATGTCAGGGTGATTTTTATGCCCCGTCATGAATATGGCCGGGGTATATAGTGTTTGTCATGTCCGTCTTCCGTCCTTCCGTCTGTCCTTCCGTCACACTTTGCGTTTAGCTCTGTTCAAAGCTCAGTTTCAAGAAACTATTCAAGATATTTTTATCAAACTTCATAAGCTGAGAGATATTGATGAGAGCTATGCAACTGCATCAACTTTTTTTGATTCCACTTTTTGGAGAAACTTTTCGTGGTCTTTAGACAAAATAGGTGAGCTTTCTGACAAAATCATAATTGTTGGCGATATAAATGTTGATCTTCTAAGCACTCCTCACACACATATCATATACGATATAATATCCAATTGTAATCTTATCAACAGAATCAGCGAGCCAATGAGAATCACGAATTCCTCTCGAACACTTATTGACCCAATATTTACTACACAAAGCGTAGACGAAACAGAGTCGGGAACTTTAAATGTAAGCGCGAATCTTAGCGACCATAGAGCAACTTATGTGTGTCTTACCTTGAACTACAACATTAATCATGCGTACAAGCGCAATGTATGGCTTTATAAAGAAGCGGATTTTGAGAAACTTAATTCCTTAATTAACGACTGCGATTGGGACAATTTAATAAATAACGTCAAAGATGTCGACACTGCTACGGAAAACTTTACTACTCATTTCTTATCGTCTGTACGAAAATGTGTTCCAGAAAAGTCGGTCACTATTCGTCCTAAGGACAAACCGTGGTTGACTCGGTTCTTAGAAAACATATAATAATACGCAACAGACTACATAAAATAGCAAGAAAAACGAAAAACGAAGCTGATAGGGCTTAATATCGAAAACTCAGAAATCAAGTTAACAACATGAAAAAATACGCGTTATCGAATTATTATGACAATATTGACCTTCAGATGTCTGATGCGAGTGTTAACAATACTAAATTATACTGGAAGCTGCTGAGAGATGCTTTTCATGTAAAACCAAATAAAGATATCCCTCCTATACAATACATTTCTGATAGCGGAGATGAAAATATAGCTTTCTCAGATGAAGATAAGATTGATGTGTTAAATAACTATTTTTCTTCTATATCTAATGTGGATGACTCACAAAACCAATTACCTGAACTGTATTACGTATGTAATGATACACTGAGTGATATTTTAATGACTGAGCAAGAAATTATTGATATAATATCAATACTTCCTGTTCATAACGCAATAGGTCCTGATGCAATAAGCCACAAAATGTTAAAATCTACTATGTATTCTGTTTCTAAACCGCTATGTTTGTTGTTTAATAAGTCGCTGGCAGAAAATGTATTCCCAGATAAATGGAAACTCGCTCATGTATTACCATTGTTTAAAAAAGATGATCCTTCTGTAGCAACTAATTATAGACCGGTATCATTGTTGAGTTGCGTTAGCAAAATTATGGAAAGAATTATATTTAAACATGTGTACAATTACTTTCATCAAAATAACTTATGTAACAAATTTCAAGCTGGTTTTTTGCGAGGTCACTCAACTGTTTACCAATTACTTGAAACTTATCACAGCATTGTTAAGAATATCGATGAAGGAAAATTTTGTTGCATGGTATTTTGCGATCTGTCCAAAGCGTTCGACAGAGTGTGGCATATAGGTTTGCTTTTTAAATTAAAGACATACGGTTTATGTGGTAACATTCTTACCTGGATTGAGAGTTACTTATGTAATAGAAGGCAGAAAGTTATTTATAAAGATATTTTTTCATCTAGTAGAAACATTAATGCTGGTGTACCACAAGGATCAGTTCTTGGTCCTTTACTTTTTTTGATTTATGTGAATGATGTGTCAGAAAACATGATTTCATTATGTAGATTGTTTGCAGATGACAACTCGTTGCAATTTTCCTCATATAATGTGGCAACTATTGAATATATCTTGAATCACGATTTAGAAATTCTTGATAGGTGGTCTTCCAAATGGCTTATGAAATTCAACCCATCCAAAACAAAAGCATTATTCTTTACATTAAGATCTAATTATTATCTTCCTAAACTACAATTTCAACGATGTAAATTAGAATACATAACCTCTCATAAACACTTAGGACTACTATTGAGCCAAAATCTCAATTGGTCTGAACATATAGACAATATAGTTAAACAGGCTTACCAAAGATTAGGCCTCCTAAAAAAGCTAAAATACAACATTGGTAGAAACACACTATCTAAAATGTACATAACTTTTATTAGACCACTACTTGAATATTGTTCTGTAGTTTGGGATGGATGCTCTTTAAAAGATGTTGAAAAATTAGGAAAGGTGCAGCTTTATGCTGCGAGAATAATTACAGGGTTACCCATTATAGCCTCAAGAGATGCATTATATTTAGAAACAGGATTGGAACCTCTCGCAGAGAGGCGTAAAGTAGGAAAACTAAATACCATGTTTAAAATACATCACAGTTTGGTACCTGATTATTTAAAAAGTATTTTTCCCTCAATAAGGAGTGTTGAATCAAATTACAACACACGTAATCGAGATGACTACACTATTCCTAGATGCAGACTCGAAATATTTAAGAAATCTTTTGTTCCTGATACAGTAAACCAATCGAATAGTTTAAGTATTACCACAAGAAACAGCTCAACTTTTAGTAGATTCAAAAACAAAATACATAAAAAACCAGCAGACCCCCCTCCTTATCTCTGTTATGGTAACAAACGACTTAGTATCATACATACTAAACTACGACACAACTTTATTTTAAATTATGATCTTTATAAAAGAAACATTATTGAGAGTCCTAATTGTTCATGTGGTACACCAGAAGACCCATATCATTTCTTCTTTGTATGTAATAAATATCAACATGCTAGAGAGGAACTATTTAGAAACCTACTGTGTCTTATTAAACCAAACACTAAATTGAATATTATTGATTGTCACCTAATTCTGTGGGGAGATGAGTCACAAAATGTTGAAATCAATAAATATATTTTTCAATCTGTACAAAAATTTATAAGAGATTCTGGCAGATTCAATTAATTATAACAGCCTTACACTAAAACTCTAGTTAGTTATATATTTATCATGTAATTAATGTATGTTTAAAACAAACATGTTTGTATATCAATATTTTTTTTTCTATATATAGACCTTGACAGTTGTAGCCATTTATGGTGAGAACCTCGTAAGTTGTTAGAACTTGTGTTCAAACCATTTGTATATTATTTATACAATAAAATATGTTCAAACTAACTTTTTTTGACCTTGACCTTTCCTTTTACCTTGACTCTTTCTTAAATTAGTGTTTAGCTCAGTTTTAAAGATACCATTCAAGATAGTGTAATCAAACTTCATATGTTGATACATATTGATGTAAGCTATTCAACTGCATCAACATTTTTGACCTTGACCTTTGTTTTGACCTTTCAATAATTTCAATACTTATGAGATTATAGCACATTGTAATATTTATGTGTATGTACATGTATATTGACAAGTTCTGCCCCTTAGTGCTTTACTACGATTGAGGGTATGTGACGACAGAGGCCAAAAAAAAGTGGGGGTATTTTAATCAAATAAATTAGACATTGTACGTGAAGCTAAGTATACATTAATGTGTTCTGATATTTTTAAAGAAACTTTTGTTCTGATTGATATTTAATTTTTCACTTATTTTGCAGAACCATCGACATTTCTCATTTTTATTCTCAGTTTTAGATTAAGAATAATCACCTATATCATTCTCTTTCTCTTTTTTTATATCTGTTTAGAGACACTAACTGTGAATAGCATGCATTGGGAGGGGGGGGGGGGGTTCAATGTCAGAAATAGCCCAATCACTGTCATTTTTTAAAGACGCCTATATAAGCTGACTGTTTCCAACAAAAATGTGAGGCTTCTTTTTTTCTTCGTCATCAAAGTGTTCTGTGTACAGATATTTAACAAATAAGCTGTGCATGCAATCCTACTTAATGAAACCTATTCCAATCAAGTATATTCAATTGATTACAAAATATAGACTAAGTGCACATTTATTTTGTTGTCAAATGGAGGTTGAAGATGAATACCATTTTATATTAAAATGCTCACTTTATCATGAGTACAGGGAATTGTATATTATTGGTATAGACCTAGTATGTATAAACTTTTACAATTATTATCAACTGAAAATGTGAGTGAACTAAGTAATATGGGGAAATTCCTCCAAAAAGCAGAAGCACTTAGAGATTTACATCTGTAAACTAAGGATTCTTTTTTTAATGTTTGGTTGGAAATGTTTGGTATGTTAAAACAAGTATATGTAGATATTTTATGTATGTATATTTCTTCAGTGCTATACATCCTGTATTTGTAATGTTGTATTCTGATTATGTAATCTGATAAGCCATATGGCTTAAGGAATAAATAAACAAACAAGCAAGTACATACAATTTTCGAGTTCAAATCCTTATCAAAATACGTGTTAAATTTGCAGTAAGTACGCAGTTCGAAATGAGAGCCTATTCCTCTTCTTGCTATCAGTTATTCAGAGTTCCCTGTGCGTTATCCTTGTCAATTATTATACCAACACATCATATTATCTGCCATCCTCTTAAATTTTTACCCAGTTTTCAGATCTGTTTTATCACAGAAGATTTATTATAATATACTGTAATTGATTTATCCAGATATACTAAGATCAGAACAAGGTACACAGCCGCATTCATTGATCCGGAAATAGAGAACATCCCGGTCCGCTCCTCCGTCATAACGTTCTAGTGTTATCTGCATTAAAATTAAAGAATGATAAAATGAATTTATAAGCCAAATACTGTTCATAATGATTTAGATAAATTTCAAGAATAAGAAAATTCTAAATGATATAAAGAAATACTACACAAATCTAATAACAAACAACGCATTCATAAAAAAAAAAAAAAAAAAAAAAAAATTAAAAAACATGCCCTCTGTACTTTTTTTTATTATTCAAGTTAAAATTGTCATTGTTTTTGTTGCCTATTGTAATTTTTAAAAAAAAGTGACTTTGACTTTGATTTAATTTTTTCTTTCTGTTTTTGAAATAATACAGATTGAGCTGACCAAAACAACTCACTATTTCTAGAGTTTTTGAGGTGATTTCACAGCAACAGTCGTCAGTATACGTTCTTTGGAACCTCTCTCCCACTGGAACCTCGGGGTCAAGAACATTCGGCTCGATGACAGATTTTCGAACTTCAATGCAAGCATTTGTATGAACCACATGGGCTTTGTATCCACTAATATGAAGTTCTGTCAGTTTTTCTAATTTTCGACATAGTCCCTTTGTTGTTATGACGAAAAATACAGTCAATGCTAGTAAAGAGACCTCACACCAAATAAGCTTATTCATTTCTCTCTCTGTATGCCTAAGAAATTAAATAAGCGCTTTCAGCCATGTTGGCTCTCAGAATTAAGAAAAGTTCAAAACGTATATATATATATATATATATATATATATATATATATATATATATATATATATATATATATATATATATATATATATATATATATATATAATTATGAGTAGAAACAATTCAAACAGGTTTCGAATTAAAAACCTAATCGACCTGCTTTACTATAAAGTCGTCGACGTGGTGTCATTTATTTTAGAAAATGCTTTTAATTTTTTTTTAAATGATATGTATTTAATTATATGAAAAATAGTTAAAAGAAACCAATTAAGTTAAAATGAAAAAAAAATCTTTTCTCAAATCAGCTTTTATTGGGTTTTTTTTTCACTTTTTGTTGATTTTTTTTTTTTAAATTCCTGAAAAATAAGTAAACATATTTTCTATTTTAAATTCATTTCTGATTATTTGGTCGTCATGACATATAAGGTTATTTGGTCCATTTGAAAGAAAAATACTTAACGTAAGAAATACGAAGAATAAATTCCCAAACAGGTGATACAGCGCATTGTACTAACTACTAATGATGCAGAATCCACTGATGACATAATATGGTATAGTGGATGACTTTTAATCCATAAATGATACTTTCTTTATTTTATCATTAAAGGACAAAACATCGTACCATTGCCTTTGGTAGAAGATGCTGCTACACATAAATTGTACCATTTGTGGACGCATCATAATGAGTTGATTATTGATATGATTATACATGTATCATCAATGGATATTTGCATCAATAGTTGACAAAATTTTGTAGCATGAGTGGGTTGCACTGCTAGCAGTAAATGGCATGAGCTTTTCATTTGTGGATCTTGTATTATTAATGGTTACCATATGGTTGATAAATAATAACTCATTAATGGATGCAAAGTTATTTACTTAGATATTATACTTTCATGTAAATTAGTTGAATCTGATTCGCCGAGAAACATTTGTTAAAAAGCTGAATGATGAAGCCACGCCCTCCAGCGTAGCAACAGTCAACATTGCTTGACGACGGGTGATATTAAAAAAAAAATAGTGACTGCGCAGAATTTATGCGCGCATGGTTCACTGTTATTTGTATTTGTATAAAACATTCAGTATAATATATTAAATATTGCATGTAGTTGAGTGTAACATTGAAAATTTTCACCCCAAGAAAACCATTGTCAACCGAGGCGCAGTCGAGGTTGACGATGGTTTTCGAGGGGTGAACATTTTCAATGTTACACTCAACTACATGCAATATTTATATAATGCGACATCATACCATCAGGTTACAACGCATGCCTTACATTTAAAATCATCACGAGTTCAGAAGCCCTATGTCAATTAAGCATCTTTAGACTATTATGATGGGAAATTGTCTACAAACGCATGTATCAACGCTTTTGTTCTGCAGAAAAATCATTTTTCAAAAATATTTATGCTATTCTGATTCTAGAGTATTGTCCATTATCTGCCCGAGAATTATCCTCGGCCAGGGTTGGGGTCAATTACTTTCTATAAAAATGTATATAAATACTTTCAAATACATTGAAAATTTTGTCAATTAATTACAATTACATTGATTTATACAAATGTAATCAATTACTCTCAATTACTTTGCAGAATGTAATTAAATACATTTCAATTACTTTTGATTCACTTTCCAAAACCTTGAAGAACAAACCAATGTAAATTTAAGGTAGGAGGTATTATTTGAAATAAATAATGTCAGGTGCCTGTGATGTTTGTGTGTTTCATTAACACAAGACCTAGTCCTAGATGTATAATTGACTGCCTTAATAGATTTGATTAAAAGTGTGTTTTCAAAAGTTTATGAATCAACCATAAAATGTTCTCAAATTATTTCAGCTACAGGTAGGCAAGCTAAACACCTTAAATTGCAAATATTGACAAATAATACTTGTTTTATGTAATAACTGTCAGATACCAAATGCATACATGTATATAAATATCTGTTTAAATGTTAAAATAGTGATTCAATATTTATTTCTTTTCTGAAGTATATAAATAGTAGAGCATTCTTATTAGTATTTAATAAATCACCTCTAATGGTCAAACATTGTATCTCTGAATTTAAACAAAGCATGGTTTTAAATTACATGTGTATAAAACCTGGGAGGGTTGTTTTGATAGCAATTAACAGCTGGGAGTTGAATAGCAACAAATCAGGTCTTAATGACACATTAAATTATTTTCTAGTCTTTTGTGATAATCAAGCAACAAAAAATTGAAATGTTTTCATGCCTATACCAATGAGAGGTAGAACAAAATTTTTGATAAACATTAAACTAGTATTAATTCTTTATATGCATTATAATTATAAAACAAACTAATATTTTAATATAAAAAAACCCCCAATATATCAAATTCATTCATTGAGACATAAAAAAAAGTTTAAGATTTTGAAAAACAAAAGAGCTTCTTTGAATGAATTAAAGTAACAGTACTGTACATGTAAAATGTGACTGTGTTGGAAATATTTTCCTATTAATACACATAACATGTATTATGTAAAGTAATTGAATCGTAATTGAAAAGTAATTGAAATTACACGGTATTTTTTTTCAATGTAATTAATTATATTCAATTACAAGTAATTGAAAAAATGGTCAATTACAAAATACTTCCAATTACTTTGAAAAATGTAATTAATTACACTCAATTACAATTACTTTTTTCAATTACCCCATTCCTGTCCTCGGCCCAGTATATGGTCGAGTTTATACATAACTAAATGGACACTTTTAGAAATATGGCAATATTTCTACACGCCAAAGCTTGAAACAATGCATAAAACCTTCATATATAAAATTAATTCTTCGAATTTATCATAGATATAAACTACTCACCAATGATTTCAGGATAAACTAGGAAACTGAAGTACCGTTGCTGCTTATTAACCCATTATATATATGGCATCCTAATCGATTATAAGGAAATGTGTACTAAAAATCCTTGTTCCCAGCTTAAGAAAGTACTGTGACACTTTCTTGCTGCTAACCACTACTGGATGTTTGGTTTGTTTTTCTGAGAAAGTACGGATTTAGTTTTGGAGAATAAGGCAAGGGATTAAAAACGACTTGTCTAACAACTTCATTGTCGGTACAATATTTATGCATGTATGATGTCACTGTAGCATCTGCTTAACAATATTTGCTGTGACCATCGCGTTTAAAGTAAATTTAAATGAATTGCATATTTCAAGGAAGATTTAAACATTTCATTCTCAAAAAGTGAAAGAAGTAATGTAAATCGAAAAAGTATGCATGTAAACATTTAATGTGCTCTGTGTCTTCGTCTAGTTCAGCATTTACATATAAGATAGATGGACATTCTACATATAGTCTATAGCTTGTTATCTTTGGCCATATTCATACGAGATTCTATTTTTTTTTCTTGCCGACAACTTCACTGTACTGATCTTGTTAAATATAACACATAGTATGATATATTACTTTTAGTCTGATACGTCTGTTTCATATTCGGATGTTTACTAGCTATAGAGAAAGAAGTCTAAAGGTAGATTAAAGGTGGCTTAAAGAACTTTGGACAAAGCACCTTGCTTGAGTCAAGTTTAAAAGGAGCAATTTATCCTGTGGTTGTGCTTTCTTTTCCTCAATGTTACTCCTGAAAAACGTTAATTCACTTCAGTACATAAATTGTAGCAACCGACCATGATTTTGGGCATTTCGGTTGGTGGTCATGAACTTGCTCAGACTGTGCATCATGAAGAATTAATACATATCATGGCCGTAGGAACCGGGGGGCACGGGGGGAGCGTTGCCCCCCCCAATAATTTTGCCGATATATAGATTACTATAATAAACATAGATACTATATGCTTGTGCCCCCTCAATAAAAACGTCTGATGACTTTTTTTTTTTTTTTTGCTTGTCAGGACATTTTGGTAGTGCCCCCTCAACTGTCAACTGAAAAATGTTTGGCTGTGCCCCCCCAACTGAAATTGCTTCCTACGGGTCTGCATATATTCCGTACTTGACACTGAAACTGTCTGACCTCTCACTCTCTCTCTGTCTTTTCCATTTCTTTGAATCCCCTCTTTATTCTTCTCTATGTGATTTCATTTTCAGTTAGCTTAACTGAATCAATCTGTCCTGTTTTTATGCCCCCATATCGAAGATTCGAGGATATATAGTTTTTGCCCTGTCTGTTTGTCTGTCCGCAAAAACTTTAACCTTGCCCATAATTTTTGATTGGTTGGAGCTATGACTATCATATTTCACATGTGTATTCCTTGTGACAAGACCTTTCTTTGGGTACCATCATATTTGCTCTTTTGACCTTGGAGTTTGACCCACTTTTGCAAAACTTTATGAGACTTTAACCTTGGCCATAACTTTTGAACAACTTGTGCTTGGGGTATCAAACTTCACATGTGTATTCCTTGTGATAAGACCTTTCTTTGGATGCCAACAATTTTGTTCCTTTGACCTTAACCTTGGAGTTTGACATACTTTTGAAAAACTTTAACCTTGGCCATAACTTCTGAATGGTTGGTGCTTGGGGTTTCAAACTTCACATATGTAATTTTTGTGACAAGACCTTCCTTTAGATACCATTCACTTTGACTTTTTGACCTTGACCTTGGAGTTTGACCTACTTTTGAAAATCTTTAATCTTTGCTATACCTTTTAAACATTTGGTGCTAGGGCTTTCATACTTCACATGTGCATTCCTTGGGACAAGGCTTTCCTTTGGATATCAACCATTTTGGCATTGACCTTGACCTTGGAATTTGACCTTCTTTTAAAAAAACTTTAACCTTGGCCATAACATGTGAACGTTTGGTTCTAGGGCTTTCACATTTCACGAACATGTGTATCACTTTTGACAAGACCTTCCCTTGGGGCCCCATTTGACCTTGACAATGACGATTTACTTACTTTTAAAAACTTTAACCTTCGCCATAACTTTTGAACATTGG